TTTTTTAAGTTCAACTCATCCTTGGAAGTCATTTAATTAGAGCTATTTCTGATAACTTTTTATAAATATGAAACATTAATTATTGTTAAGATCATGGCAATCATTGAAGATTTAAAAAAATTAATTGTAGAAAATCAATTGTGGAACCTTTCAAAAAAATTGTGGAACCTAAGATTAAAAAATAATAATAATTGTAGAAACCGAAAATGAAATTTTCAACCAAGCTAACCGGGCTATAAAATTGAATTAAAGTCATTGGCTGTCTTCCATAAGAAAAAACAAAAAAAAAAAAGGTCATTGGTTGTCTAATTTAATTTGAAGAATTATAATTGGTTTATTTCTTAAATCTGAAGATTTTTATTTTACTAAACCACTAAAAAATGATTACCATTAAATTTTTTAAGTTGTTGATCAATTTTTTCATTTTTTTTCTCGATCCATATGAGTTTATGCGTGGGAAGACCTTGACTTAGAACTCTGTTAGGAAAATTACTGGATGGAGTAACAACTTGTTAGCATTTGCACTTTCTTATTTGTTATGGTCCTTTTGCATTGGGAAGACCTTGACTTACAACTTGTTAAGAAAATTATTGGATATAATAAAACTTGTTAACACTTGCACCTTCGTGACAGTTGCGGATGGGGAAGACTTTGAATTACAACTTTGTTAGGAAAATTATTAGATGGAATAACGTGTTAGCATTTGCACTTCGTATTTGTTTTGAATGGGAAGACCTTGACTTACAACTTGTTAGGAAAATTATTGGATGAAATAACAATTTGTTAGAATTTGCACTTTCATTGTAGTTACGGGTGGGGAAGACCTTGACTAATACAACTTGCTAGGAAAATGATCGGATGGAAGAACAACTTCTGGGTGGGAATGGAATTAGTTTTTTTATGCTTTTAATTAGCATATGTGTAGTTTGAAAGAAATAAAGGGGAAATGACGGGAGTGACTTTTTTTTTATTACTCCCTATTCTAAAAAATAAATATTTTTTTTATTTTATCTTCAAATTAAGTAGTTAGAAACAATTTATATTTTTACATTTACTATCCTTAAAAAAGATAAAGATAAAGATATACACTTTTATAATAGGATACATAATTAAAATTAATGGATAATGTAAGATTAAAGTGGAAAAAAAAATATCTTCTCTAAAATATGAAAAAACGACAATTACTCTAAAATAAATTCAAATAAAAAAATCTATTTTTTTGGGATAGATAGAATAATAAGTATCTTTCTATTAGTTTAGCTAAGTTTTATACTCTTTATTTTAAAAAATCTTAATTTAAAATAGTCAAAAGTTTAAAATTTTACAATACCAAGCAACAAACCTCAAAAATAAATAAATATATATATACACACACATATATATAGAAGATTATGTATATCAATTCTGATTCTAAAAAAAAAATTGGAATCTTAATGTTAAATAACGTTATTTCATTTAATTAAAACCTAATTTAAATTTCAAAAATTCACTTTATTCAATTTTGATATATGAATTTGGAAATGGATTATATACTCTAATATAAATTGTTTTTAAATACAAGTATCAACATTATAGATGATGAAATTCTAAATTTTGAATTGGGTTTTAATCAAATGAAATGACATCATTCAAATTTGGGACTTTTTTTTATTTTTTTTATATCAAGACTAATATACACTATTATCATATATATATATATATATACACATACACACATATATATAGAGGATTGTGTATATCAATTATGATTCTAAAAAAAAAAAATTGGAATTTTAATCTTAAATAATGTTATTTCATTTAATTAAAACCTAATTTAAATTTCAAAAATTCACTTTATTAAATTTTGATATTTGAATTTGGAAATGGATTATATAATCTAATATAAATTGTTTTTAAATACAAGTATCAACATTATAGATGATGAAATTCTAAATTTTGAATTGGGTTTTAATTAAAAGAAACAATGTCGTTTAAGGTCAGAACTTTTTTTTTTTTTTTTAGAAGTCAAGATTGATGTGCATTTTTTTCCATATATATGGGCCTTAATTAATAAAATAAAAATAGCTAATCAATTAAATAATATTGAGTTTACTTTTTAATATTTTAAATAAAATAACTTAT